GAGGTTATTGGCTACGAACGATCCCACTGGAAGGCGTGAATAGACCTTTTTCACGTCAAACAACCCTCACACAACCGTGGCCGAATTCCATTTAGCTGATTCAGTTTCCCGGTGCTGTGCGCTTAGGACAAATGGATTACGCAATGAAGCCATCCTTAATTAAAATGCTTAATAACTCTCCTCTGGGATATGTTAATGGGACGTGTGCCGGGGGAATCATTAGCGGCTCTATGAATACACCTTGTGAACAGGGTGATGAAGTAGTTCCAAGCGCGTCTGTACTTAACTCTCGGGGCTGTCTTCATTCAGGCCCGACCAAACGATCCTTACATTATTCACGACGCACCTTTCCCTCCCGCGTGTCCTCGGCATCCTCCTCCTGTGAGCGAGACGATTAGAGGACGTTGCCTGATACGAATATCGGTGGAGGGGGAGAAGCAGGAGATCGGCAGCCAGGGGGACAACGCGGTGTAGGCGGGTTGGGACGTGGCCGGGGTACGTTGACGGTGACAGAACCAGCAGCGGCCTCTCCGACAGCCTTTTAGAAACGGACGGGCACTTTTACCTGGTCATGAATAAGCCTCAGTGTAAATCGGACGCCTTCACATGACCTTTATGGGTAATCGAAATATGTCAAAGCACTCGGTTTCACCAGAAATAATGGGTCAATAATGGGTCACTCCAACATTGATAGACCCTCTGTGGACACTGAACTGTAGAGCACAAGTTCTCTGGGGAGTTAGTTGGTATGAGGTTCTCAATACACTACGACGATGAAGCCATCAAATACTTTTTACCGATCCGGATGGCCGATGTCGGTATAGAGGCTGCTGGTGAAAAATCCTGCAATAACTGTTCATCCTCCTGGAGGGTCCTGCTTCCACGGGGATTAAATCCAACTCAATATCTGAGATCATGTACCCAACAAAGGGGGCGTGGAGGCGACACCGTGCCGGGTAGGGTTTCGGTTCAATAAATAAACTGTTGAGCTGCAGTTTGTCTCCTGAATAGATCAAACACACACTGTATAAGTATCGTATTCTACTGCCTTCAGGTCATGTGCATGACCGGCCTCACACATACACGATCGTGCCTGTGATAGATGAGACATTTTTAAAGAGAGAGACTGTAGAATAAAGCCGTTGACACTGATCCTTATCGTGACAGCAGAATATGTAGTTTCAACAGCAGCTGGGAGCCTCGAAATCAACAGGCAACCACTTCTATTAGTAATCTTCCTCCAACAACAGGTGGCTTCTGAAACGCAACAAACCAAGGACACTTCATCTAAACATAACTCCTGTCACATTTAATGACATCGCATCGGATTAATTAGTTTCTAATTCAGCGCCTTTTCCACACGGTTAATTAAAGGGGAGGAAGTAAGTCAGAATGTCACCACGAGGTCCATCAGGATGTGATTTTTCTTGCGGAACTTGAAGGAGGGAAATGTCGAGTGTCGCCTCCTGTGCTGCACGAATGAAGAATAAACTGAGTAAAACGAGCTCTTAATAACGAGGGACCGCTTGTCCAGGAGGGAACAAAGCGGCTTGAAAATTGCAAAGTCCTGTGTGGGTTGAAGTTAAATTACAACCACACGCTACCAAATGTATTAACATAATCCAGGATTATTCTCTCGAAAACGTAACTCGTGAGCAAAAAAAAAAAAGTAGGATGCACAATTATTAACTTCTTCTTTGTCTCCATCAATTCTATCCGCTATTGTTCCAAATGAAAGCGTGAAAGGTTTTGTGCCGGTGAAGAAAGGAGGCAGAGAGTTTGGATAGCGTTACCACGGCGACGGTCTGACCTTTTCCCAGCTCTCTCAGTAGATGGAAGCCGATTAGAGAAGACAAAGCAGGAGCCTCCTTTTAAACCACGAAGGTTCGCTGCACATTACGAGTCCGCCTGGTGACTCGTCTTGTGTGCACCTGTGTCACTTTTGTCAGGTTTGGGGGGGGCGGGGGGGGGCTCTTCACTACGCGCATCCCTCACCGGAGGACTCAATTTAGGATGTTTTTTCTTTTTACTGTTGCAGTCACAGTTCTGTTCATACTGCTGCGAATATTTACTATTGAATTTCAATAGACAAAGAGTGTCTTCATAGGAAATGTTGCCCAACTCAAGATGTTTGAGAAAAACTAACTAAAATGTCAACCAGAGGAAGGTCTGGGGATCACCAAAGTTAGTGTGCTTTATCCTCTGGGGACCATGAATATCATTGAACATAGAGATGAAACCCCGGCAGTGAAGCTCAGGGATTTTGTTTTCCTATTTAAGGAAACACTCTTCTCAGTTACAGTGTGCGGTGACCGTTCCATGTCATGTCATTGTTGAAACGCCATGTGGAATTATTTTTAATCATACGATCAACTTGGGATCGACGGGTCGCATCCTACGCGTTGATGAATAATCAAGGTAATATAAAGTAAACCTATATTATTTTGTACTAAATATATTTCTGGTACACGTGGGGAAAATAGATAAATATGATGTTATAAGGAAAGGGTGGTTAACAGTGTGTGTCTGTGTGTGTGTGTGTGTGTGTGTGTGTGTTCAGCGAGGCAACTTAAAGACCACTGCAATCTGATCTGCGTGCAGTGAAGTGATTGATGAGCATTTTAGCATTAACAGTATGTTGTGTTGCAAAGGTCAGAGTTCCAGAAGAGAGAGAGAGAGAATATTCAGAAAGCGGACCGGTCGGTAGACGCGGTCTCAACATCGGATGGGGAGCTACATTTTCAACGTAATAATGAAATAAATTCCCCGGAACTAAAGAACCGCATGGTGGGAGCCACTTTGTGTCAAACCCAGTCGCCCAACAAAACATGAATACGGAGAGCAGATTACAGTACTCCCACTTCAGGGGGTTTAAAAGTTTAACTTTCCAGAGCGCATCGCAGCTGCAACGATGGACCGGAAAGGTGACATATTGGACAGGATACCACGACCTGTTTGAGTGGAAAGTGCTGTGATTTTCAAAGTGTCTCATTATCCAAAGTGCACTCAATAGAATCATTTGTAGGACACAACATATCCTGTTGCCGCTCTGTTCATATTACCAACTTCTGTGACACGATCCTGTGAAACATTTACCATATATTGCTTTATATTCAAGCTGAAATATGCTGCGTCTGCAAGTTCTGTAGACTAATTTGCTGAATCTTATTCTCCGTTTCTATTCATATCAAAGAGGGAGATGTGGGCTGGAAAACCAAGACAGACCGTTTACCTTCCTGTGTGCGTAACAATGTGAGTGACAACCCGTTGAAACAGCTCAGGGGAGCAAATCTTCATATCGTCTGCTCAAGCCACAAAGTACAGTATTGATTTAGATCAAATGAAGATACAGTCAAATGAAAGTATGCCTTTTTTAAGAACAACCTAAATGTACATTGTGGTGCAGGCGATGTGATTTGATTCCACGATCTCTCGCTTTAATCATTAATGCTTCCTGGTTCCTAGGTGGTAATGACCAGCTATTTTAAGCATCCCCCCCGTGCAACCCTGGTGCTGTTCTCCGATTGGCTGAATCGTCACCAACGGCAGGAAGTCAGTAATAGAGTGACAGTCCAGCAGGGACCCTCTCCAGTAAGCGTCTCTTACTCAAGCCAAGAAGCTCCACTTGGCAGCCCCGATAGGAAATTGATCCGACAACGAGTTGGGTGTGTAAATGATGGTTTACGATCCAAGCCTGGCCGCAGAGGGAGTGGGGGGGGGGATACCAAACACAACAGTGTGTCGAGTTGCCTGA